GCAATGAATTCCTCCCCCGTTGCTCGCCCTCTCCCTCCTCCCCCGACGGCCGCCTTGGATTTGCCCCTGACTTGGCCCTGCACTCGCAGTACCTGCCAAAACTACAACAAATGCAGCACATTCCCATAGTAGTAGTCGGCATATAAAGAAATTTATACTTCATGCTTGTATTACTCATGTACACCGCTCCCCTCCCCTCACACGAATAATCATTACTTTCTCAGTAGTACCACACACAGATGCGACAAATTCACTGGTTGTCAGTAAGGCGAGCAACATGTCCTGCCCATCGATGCTCCTTTCTCGCATGGCTGTAATGATATCCTGCACGCCGCTCATGAATCCCGGCTGTTCTCACAGGAACAGCAATGCCCCTGGGGATCTTGGGAGAGGAGAAATGAGAGCACCGAAATACTTACCTGCGTGAGCAATTTGGCGCCCGCGCCTGTATTGTCATCGCCCGCACAGTCTGCAGCAATACTACGCACGAACGCCTCATCCCTTAACAAACTGTTGTATCGGAGAAAGAAATACCTACAGTTATCTTTATAAATCGACCGGGCAATTATCAAAATTCAGCTCGGCTCGGCTTGGCCTGCTGCGTAGAGCACGGATTGCGAAAAATTTTTTTGGCGGTAGCGGGTAGAGTTACCCACGGCGAGTGACGGGATTTCGACTGTGGCAGAAGGAGGCGGGTTATGTTCGAGAGAGGGGGAAGGGGCTGGGATAAGTGGATTTCATGAGTATGTGGCGTAGATATTTTGTCGGTTGGCTAGGTCACCTACATTTTGAGGATGGAAGGGAAGGGAAGAGGGAGGATAAAGCGTGTTGCTGGTTTTTGTCGCGGATACTCGGGGTAGGGAAAGCGGTGAAATATTGCTTGCTGCCAGAGTGCTCTTACAGTGGGGAAAGGGAGGATTTCACATATTTCTTTGCAAGCAAGATTTGGGAGCGAAGTGAGGAAAGGGAACAAAGATACAAGTCAAAAGCTCGAGAGAGCAGCACAAGGAAAGGCAAAATAGCACTATAAGGAAATGCAAATTAAAACAAACCTGAGTCTATGGATAAAAGAAAAAAATAAATAGCAACGCGCACCAGACTAGTCGGTGCAATCATGCGTTTTGTGCAATTCAGCCCATCGAACGATTGCCTGTTAATGATTTTCACTGC